ACCATGTAATGTGTCTGACTGCATTATTGTAATATCTCTCATGCTCTCGATGACTTTAATATAATACTTATATATCTCAACCGTACAATTGTGCATTACTGAACCCGTGGGTAGTATTAGTATTAGTAGCTGCGGGTGGGGGCTGGCCCCTCACCCCCCACACCCTCAACCATTTAATTTAATACTACACCTCTCCTCTCTCTGTCTCCCCTCCCCTCGGCAGCATTGACATAGTGGACCCTCCTGCTCCTGGAAAGCCTTTCTTCCCTTTGGGGCCCCTGTGCCTAGCTAGCCCTGCTCACTGGCTGAACCCCGTTCTGGACTCCTCGCCAGCTGAATGAATGTTGGCAGCCTCCCGCTCTGTTCTCCTTGATCCCATTGGTCCCATGGCTTCCAATCTGGGCTCTCTCCCTGTCTTGGACTGGATCGTGCCCCCTGGGCACCCTCAGTTATTGACCTGTAAATGTAATCCCGTATGGAAACAAGTTTTTTCTTGCATGAGGCCCCAGAGGTCCTAAACCTAATCACTTCAGAGTGATGAACACGCAGACACTGGCCCCCAAGCAGAGAAACGGGGAAGCCAGCTGCTGCAGGAAGATCTCCCAGAAACCAAGGAGCACCCGGACAGACACTGGGACAAAAACCTTATCCCCGAGCCTGAACCCACAGAGATCCTGTCCCAAGAGCCGGAGCCCTGAATCCAGGCGCCTAGCCTCCCACACAGCGAAAAAATAATTGTCTGTATCCCCCACTTGGGATATCTCTGTTAGAGCAGCTCTAAGAGACAATGTCCAACTCTTTACTGGTGATGGGGCTTCTCTCTGCAGCCCACTCACGTACCCCTAAACCAGTGGTTCTCCACCTTCCTCGTGCCTCGACCCTTTCATACAGTTCCCCATGTGGTGGTGAGGCCCCAACCGTAACATTATTTTTGTTGCTACTTCATAGCTGTCATTTTGCTACTATTAGGAATCAGGCAACCTCTGTGAAAGGGTCATTCAAGCCCCCAAAGGGGTCGCGACCCACAGGTTGAGAACTGCTGCCCTGAACTGTCTGCTGCCTCTGCGTGGATATACACAGACCCTCAGGCTCAACCCCAGGACCCCGCTCTGCACCCCCGCTCTGAAACCTGTGACTGGCTCACGAAACAGTGGACGCCCTTCCCATCCTCCTCCGTCTGTCCAGGAACTGGAGCCACACCCTGTCTCGTGCCCTGACACACCGTAGGCAAGAAGGGCAGCCCAGGTGGAGGGCGCTGCCCAGCAAAGGCAGAAAGGAGAGCAAGAGGATGGCTTGGCAGGAAGCCCACGGTGTGTTTGGGGGATCAGAGGGGGAACCCCTTAACTATAAAGAGCAGACTTTGTCCTGGGGCAGTGCTTTCGGCTCTGTACCCCTCCCTAGCCCGTGGGAAGGTTTAAAAGGACACGGCAGGTGTTTGAACTTACATTTCTTGCCTGCCTGCCTTCCCTCCTTCGGTCCTGTTAGGTGGCACTGCGTCAGGTGGCACCACTCGTGTGACCTTATGTCCAACAGAACGACCTCCTGCCCATCATCCGATGGTGCGTATGCCCGAGCCCATTGTGACAGCCACTGTGCCAAGCGTCTGCTGAGGGCCTGCCTCTTTTTCCGCTGCTCCTCTGCTTTACCAAGCACGACGTCCTTCTCCAGGACTGGTCTGCTCGCGTCTGAAGTAACCGAGAACTCTCCCCGTGCGCGTGTCTAAGGAGCATTCTGGCCCTGCTTCCTCCAGGACAGATTGATTTGAAATCCCAGCGACCTCGCTTCCAGCATCACAGCAACACGTCGCCACCACACGCCCGGCCCACAGACAGACAAGTGGTGGCTTCCTAGTCAACAAATACTGATGGTGAGCCTCGGGCCGCCATCTGCAAGGTCGGTCGTTCGAAGCCAGCAGCCACTCCTCGTTAGAAAGACCTGACTGTGTGCTCGCTCCTGTAAAGAGGGGCCGTCTGGGAAACTCAGCACAGGGGCAGGTCTCCCCTGTCCTATAGGCGCCCTAGGAGCGGGCATTGACTGGATGGCTGTGTGTGTGTTCTTTTTGGGGGGCTGGGGGTGGGAGGGTTCTATTGGAAAGGGACCCTGAGAGAGTGCAGAGGAGGGGCTGGACTCGAGGTACAGAGACTGCCGGAGTAGCTCCAGGCCTGGCCCGGCGACTGACGTCTTCTTCCTCGGGGAGGCAGTCAGAGGAGAGCTGAGTGGTGCTGGGCGCCAAGCTAGGGCGTATGTTGGTAGGAGGACTGTTCCTTCGGGCAGACTTCTGACAAACTCCTCAGGAGGTTGTCTCATCTGGGTTTTAAGAGAAGAGTAAGACTTCGGCAAGCAGAGAAGTGGACAGAAGTATTCTCGGTGGCGGGGACAGCTTGTTCAGGGGCCCCGAGGGACCACTGGAGTTGAAGCCCAGTGGGCCAAGGAGAGAGAAGAGGGAGATGGGAGCTCCATCTTCTTCCTGAGGCCTCACCTAAGCCTTTGGGGAAGGAGCACCTGGGACTTAGGACCAGGCCTCCTGCTTCACGGGGGCAGAGCCCTGGGCAGAAGAAGGTGAGGTGACAGAGGTGTGGGTGTTGGAGGGGGGATCAGAGTGTGTCTCTCTGGGCAGTCATTAGTCATGAG